ATATACTTTTTTCTTCGTTTTTTTTTTATTATATTTTTTTTCTCTGCAATTTTAGGCGATTGTATAACCGCAATCATTTATGTACAGTATACATTTTTATAACAATTACTATTATGATTAGTCTACGCCCTCGGCTTAGACTATCATAGGCCTAGGCCTCGCCTAGTAGTATTATTAAAATCTGTATATAGGGTATATGCCAGGCTCATTAGAAATTTCTTTGTTTTTATATATGTTGTGGAACTAATTTTTCTAAGGCACAAAAAAGCATATTCGACGAAAAAATCGAAAGCGGTTAGTGAGATTCATATTTTATAATATTTAAAAGCTGTAAGGAAAATGTCCGTACCTCCCTCTTTCCCCCATTTTTAAATAATCAAAAATCTGTTTTTTATCAGCCGCTTCCGAGTGTTTTGTCAAATATGCTTTTTGTGTTTTAGAAAAATCAGTTCTACAACACTACAAAAATAATTTTCCTCTGAAACATAGCTTTAAATTTGAATATTTTTTTCTTTTTTTTCTCCATTTCTTTATAATAATAGTAATATTAATAATAATAATCAATACATAAATACTTGTAAATAAAAACTAGGCTGTGTTCGAGCTTTCTTATCATGACATAGTGATACCTACTGGCACTGACTTCTGGAAAATATATCCTAAAGCCGCCACTGAGATACAGGCCTAAAAATTAACAGCCAGGGCCTGAGTATGGGCACCACTACTGAAGGTGTTTTTATACAGTATTTTATATATTATTATATATTAATCCTTAGATGGGCACTGCTACTGCATTGGGCACCACTACTGTATGTCATGGTGTTATATTTTATAATCCTTAGATGGGCACCACTATTGCATTATTGGCACCACTACTGCAGGTGTTGTTATATTTTATATATTAATCCTTAGATGGGCACCGCTACTGCATTATGGGCACCACTAATGCAGGTGTTGTAATATATTAATCCTTAGATGGGCACCACTACTGCATGTGTTGATATATTTTATATATTAATCCTTAAATGGGCACCACTACTTCATTCTTGGCACCGCTACTGCAGGTGTTGTTATATTTTATATATTAATCATTATATAGGCACCGCTACTACATTATGGGCACCACTATTGCTGGTGAGATTGCAAAGAACTGCGCCACCACTTCTTACAGATGCAGTCATGGTAAGCACATGGACCTATTAATATTAAATAAGTCCATGGTGAGAGTATTTCTGACATCGTGAATTTTATGCTGCTGTTAATGACCGCATTTAACTGACTTCGGCAAACTGGGTTTCGACCAACTGGGATTCATTGTTTTTGAGTCGGCAAACTGGTACTCGTTAAACTGGAATTCAGTAAAGTGATCTCGGCAATCTGGCATTCAGCAAACTGGATTTCGACCATCTGGACTACACTAATCCAATAGTGTCCACATTGATCGATAGCCGTGAGGCTATTTCCTGGTAGTTATTCGTGATGCCCTTTAAGGCCAACTAGAATATTAAACGTGTTTAATATTTCTCACGACGGCTTAAGACTGTCCCCGACGATAAATCGGGTCGGGCTGCGTCGGCCGACGCTGTCTGAGTTGTTGGCCTTTAGGGGACGGTTCAGGCGGGTCTATAATGAGTTTTTGGTCAGAAATGTTTGGTGAGAAACAAGCATAAATTGTATAGGCCTAATTGGGCACTATGTTTTTTTTTTAGGGTCAATTTATGACAGTCTAGTACTGTACAATAAATTATGAATTCAACTTGAACTTATATGTAGGGGGCCTACTCAGAGTGATTTATGTGCGTGACTATTATAAAGCAGAATTATATCAACAGATGCACTCTGATTATTGTGTTAAATTATGCTATATTATACTATTCTTCTTCTTTTTTCTTCTTATTCTTGTAATGTTCTTGACTAAAATTCTTTCGAAAGCTCCGGCCCACTTAGTATTTTCAAGACGGTGCCATTGTGCAATATTTGCAATATTTATTCATTTTTTTATATTTAAAACTTTAACTAACCTAAACTGACCTTGGAAATAAACAACTTTATATGTTTCATTTATAATAATAATAATAGATGGATTTATATAGCGCAAATAAACGAGGTCTCTATGTGCTAGACAATAATGAAGTCAAGAACACAAAGAAAAAAGCCGGGAAAAAAACACCAAGCTAGCACCCAAACCGAAGTATGGGGTTACACCATCACCGCCAACCGGAGATCTGTGTTTATGTACTCCGGTTAGCATCGGTTAAGTCTTGATCTCGTAGCTATAAAGAGGCAAATAAAAAGGTTTTGAGTCGTTTTTTAAAGATGTCAATTGACGCTGATTCACGGACTTCAACGGGTAGTGCATTCCACATTTTTGGAGCCGTAACACGAAATGATCTCTCACCATATGTTTTCGAACGGCACTCAGGAACAAACAAAGTTGATGAACTTAATCTGAGTGCTCGGGAACAAGTGGATGAGCGTAGTCTGAGAAGATCTTGCATGTACGTGGGTGATAGGTTATGGAGCGATTTGTACACAAGAAGAAGAATTTTGAAGTTGATACGCTGTCGAACTGGAAGCCAATATAGGTGTACGCTGTCGAACTTGAAGCCAATGTAGGTCTTTGAGTATTGGCGTGATGTTCTGTGACTTTGGGGTGAGCTTAATTAGACGTGCGGCCGAGTTAAGATGTAGTTGTAATTTTTTTATAAGAGTATCTGGAAGTCCAAATAGGATACCATTGCAATAGTCAAGTCTTTAAGTTATAAGAGCATGAACAAGTTTTTTAGTTGCGTCTTCGTTCAGGAAGCGTCTGATTTGCCTAATATTACGGATGTGATAATTGACAGATTTACAAACGTTGGTAACATGTTGCTGTCTTTAGAGACATCGTGTTGTCAAAACCACACCAACATTACGGACTTCCAGTGATGGAGTGACCGTTGTATTACCAACGCGGAGACACTGCAGATTGGGTGAGTTGGAACGATGTCTAGAGTGTATGACGAGAATTTCAGTCTTTCTGGGATTAAAACAAAGCATATTTTCAGATAGCCAGGTTTGTACTTCATCAAGACATCTTTCAACACGATCAACTGCATCGTCCATCGCATCAGGTTTAAAGCCGAGGTACAACTGCATATCATCAGCGTAAACATGACAACGGCATAAATGCTTGCTAACGATATTTCTGAGGGGACAGATGTAAATAGTGAAGAAGACAGGACCCAGAGTTGTTTCCTGTTGGACGGCACATTCCAAGAAAACGGGATCAGAAATAGACGATTTAATTTTAACACATTAGCGTCGTGATATTAAATACGACTGGAAACAACTGAGTGCAGAACCAGAGGTACCAATGTCAATTAAGCGATTAAGGAAAATATTATGATCAATAATATCGAATGCAGCAGACATGTCCAAATTATACCGATAAACACATTTACCTGTATCAAGAGCTTGCATAATGTCATCATGGACTTTCAGTATGGCGGTTTCTGTACTAAGAATTTCCTGTAAGCTGATTGGAATTGGTCGTTAAGACCATTGTCATCAAGATGCTTAACTAGTTTGGAGACAACAACCTTCGCGAATATTTGGGAAATTAATGGAATGCAGGCTATAGGTCGGAAATTAGAAAATTCAGTATGGCCAATCTGAGGTTTCTTCAAAATAGGTGATACCAAGCCAAGCTTCAGTGCCTCAGGAAATAAGCCAGAAGACAGGG